TATTTTGCTGATTTTCAACATTTCTTCATATAGTTGGTTCTTAAACTAGTATATAGTATTACACTAGTATATAGGACACTGCATATTTTATATTTAGTATATACATGTATATCAAATGAAATCTAATGAATTCATACAGTAGTTAGGTTGGCATATAGTCTAGACTTTGGCATTTAGAACATGCATCATAATAAAATCTAATGTAATTATACAATAGAGAGGTTGGCATAGTTTAGATTTTGGCATAATGTCTAACTTTTATAAGCATTGGCTTTCCTCATCTGAGCAATCAGACTACTGGGGGGCCCTGTATAGCTTCTGGGGGCCACTGGGGACCATCATATAGCTTTTAAAGGCACTGTGAATATTTGATTTAACATTGAATTCAATTGGATATTTCTCTAACAGTGAAATTTAATGGCCATGAAACATTTCAGATTGACAACATCGTGAATTTTTGTCACTGAAAATTTGGGCTTACTTCTGGGGCCAATGGGGGCCTTCGTATGGTTCTGGGGGCCACTGGGGGCCCCTGTATAGCTTCTTAGGCCACCATATAGCTTTTTTGGGCCACTAGGGGCCCCTGTATAGCTTTTGGGGGCTCCTGTTTAGCTTCTTGGAGACACTGGGGGGGCCACCATATAGTTTTTGGGAGCCACCGTATAGCTTCTGGGGGCCCATGTATAGTTTCTTGGGGCCATTGGGGGCCACCGTACAGCTTCTGGGGGCAACCATATAGTTTCTGGGGGCCACTGGATGCCATCCTATAGCTTCTGGCGGCTGCTGGGGGCCACCGTATAGATTCTGGGTGCCATCATATAGCTTCTGGGGCCTACCATATAGCTTCTTGGGGCCACTAGGGGCCCCTGTATAGCTTTTAGGGGCCACTGTAAAGCTTCTTGGAGCCAGTGGGGACCACCACATAGCTTCTGGGGGCTACTAGGGGCCCCTGGATATGCTTCTGGGGGCCACCATATAGCTTTCCGGGGCCACCGTATAGCTTTAAGGGGGCTCTAGGGGCCACTGATTAGATTCTGGGGGCTACTGGGGACCCCTGTATAGCTTCTGGGAGTCACCATATAGCTTCTAGGGGCCAGTTGGAGCCCCTGTATAGCTTCCGGGGGCTACCATATAGCTTCTGGGGGCTACTATGGGTCCCTGTATAGCTTCTGGGGGCTCCTGTTTAGCTTCTTGGGGACACTGGGGGGCCACCATATAGTTTTTGGGAGCCACCGTATTATCTGGGGGCCCTTGTATAGTTGCTTGGGGCCATTGGTGGCCACCGTATAGCTTCTGGGGGCTACCATATAGCTTCTGGGGGCCACTGGATGTCATCCTATAGCTTCTGGGGCCTACCATATAGCTTCTTGGGGCCACTAGGGGCCCCTGTACAGCTTTTGGGGGCCACTGTTTAGCTTCTTGGAGCCACTGGGGACCACCATATAGCTTCTGGGAGCTACTAGGGGCCGCTGGATATGCTTCTGGGGGCCACCATATAGTTCTCCGGGGCCACCGTATAGCTTTAAGGGGGCACTAGGGGCCACTGTATAGATTCTGGGGGCTACTGGAGGCCCCTGTATAGCTTCTGGAAGTCACCATATAGCTTCTAAGGGCCATTTGGAGCCCCTGTATAGCTTCTGGAAGTCACCATATAGCTTCTAGGGGCCATTTGGAGCCCCTGTATAGCTTCTGTGGGCTACCATATAGCTTCTGGGGGCTACTAGGGGTCCCTGTATAGCTTCTGGGGGCCACCTTATAGCATCTTGGGGCCACTGGGGGCCCTGTATAGCTTCTGGGGCCACTGGGGTCCGTGGTATAGCTTCTGGGGGCCACTGGGGGCATTTTTTATTTGAACCTTAAAAATTAATCTATTTTTGCCAGATTTGGTGGCTGTCGAGGTGGAGTCAAATTAAATTATATTTTTTTCTTCAAATTCATGTGACTTTTTATCTCTAAAGCAGCACTTTTTTACCTAGGGAGCATAACCTTTTCAAGAAGTGTTATTTTGGACCACCTTTTTAAAGAAAGTGAAATGTAAAAACCTGATTATTAAGTGATGTTACCATAGCAACTGAAATGTTAGATATATTACATAAACCATATGATGAATTATTTCATCTTTACTTCTAATCATGTATATAACAGATACTTCAGATGCTTTAAGAATCAAGAATATGAAGAAAATTATGAAAATCAGCAAAATAATGCATTTCTACGGTAACAAATAGTGTCTATTTCTGTTGCTATAGCAACGGATTGAGATTTTTTCTTGATTTTTGTCACATGTGTCAAGCATCATACTAAAACCAATTCCTGAAAATTTCAAGTTAATATATTTATTAGTGTCTGAGATATGAGGGTGTCTTATATTACCCCCTGTATATTTTATCAGGGGGGTATAAGAAATGCTCTGTAGAGAGTTGCCCAAGGGTGCCGCTCCGGCATCCAATGGTTTTGAGGTCCCAACCCTATATTCATGCTGATAAGTTAAAAAAACATTGTAATCCGAAGAAAACGATTAGCTTTGAAGTTTCTGCCAGACTAATATATTGAGAAGACGTGAAGAAGACCCAAAAGATGTACCCAATGAAATCCAGAACTAAGTAAATTAGATTTATATTTAAGGCTTATTAGCTCTGCCCATTTCCAATTCTGTTACTCTCCCCCCCTCCCCCAGGCAATAACTATTACAATTAGATGTATATAACTTACCAGAAATGCTTGACATTAAGTATAAATCAAAGATGTTTTTAAGTAAATATACTTCAAAAGTCAAGTTAAACTCTGTATTTAAAGAGAATGAACCATATACTATGATTAGGGCGACGCCCACTTTTGATCACATGTTTTATTCTATGGTCTTTGACACTTACCAACCATGTAAATTCTAATATCTTCTATATTAAGATGAATATAATAAGACCAAGAAGATGTACCCTATGAAATCTAGAACCATGAAGATGAGATTTATACTTAAGACTGATAAGCTCTGCCCCCTCCCAATTCTGTTACTACCCCCCCCCCCCCTCCCCCTCTTCCCCCCTGTATCCCCATGCAATAACTATAACACTTAGATGTTAAAATGCTTGATATCAAGTATAACCAAAGAAGTTCAATATAAATGTATCTCAAAAGTCAACTAAAATTCTGTATTTATCGAGAATGGCAATCATCTACTACTATAAGGGCGACGCCCACTTTTGATCCCTAATGTAATTGTATGGTCTTTGACACTTACCAGTTATGTAAATTGCAATATCCTTTATATGTAAATAAATGTTTGAACTGCCCTGGTAATTTTGAGAATGCTAAAATGTTCTGATATCTGTTGATTTGAAAAATAATCCACATTCTATATTAGGTGCAGGTACAGGTTTTACCAAAATTATGGATCTTCTCATCAAAAATTGTGGTTTCCATGACAACCGTGAGTGTCAGACCATTGAAACTTTACATACTACCTCAGACTGATCTCATCAACTCTCAATAAAATTATTATAATAATTGAAGATCAACTGAATTAATTATTCAATGATGATAATGTACCCCCTGTAATTTTCCTTTTTAGGGTCAAAAACCCCATTTTGACCACTTTCGCCCCGGATACGGCGCGTCAGACATAAATTTTCTGAAGTATCACATAAAAATACATAGGAAACAAGTAATTTCAATTTGTTCAGACACCGGTACATTTTTCGGTGCTACCTCACATACTATATGTAAGTCTATCTATTTATAACAAGTGCTCAGCTGTGCATTTAAGGAATCAAATACATTGCTTTAATTAGATATATAAATACCATATGAGACCTATATGGATGCCATTCTGTTCTGTTTTTGTTAGCAGTTTGTAATATATATTTTCAAGTCCTCACAAATGAATTGCCCTTACAGATAGATTATCTGTGTTGTGTTGCTCTTATTTGGGCTTTCAAGGAACTCCATGGCCAAATATTTTCACTCGTCATTTTTAAGATTACCAATATGTCAACACAACAAGTAGGGATGTGTTGTTATAGTGTCCAACTTTGGCGTCTTTAACAAATGGCAGGTAGTGACATTCTGCCTGTCACTGCCTTCTTTCACTCACAAGTAACAAGATTTGATGATACATTGCTAAAGCCGACATTTTTTGGGGTTCATCATTGGTTCATATCTGTAAAATTATGTCTTGCAATTGATTTTCTGAGAGGCCAATTGTTTTGGCTTGAAACACAAGAAAATCTTGAATCATCAGTGTTACGCTTTGTATGTCTGTAAGGAATCATTACATTTGTAGACATTAACAATTAACTGAAGATCCAGTCCATCTCAGTCATTAATCTAGGAGCCTCAGTATTAACAGAAACCTTGTAAAGTAAAAAGGTCTTTGTCATCTGATTTCAACGTCTATCTGTTGTTATTAATTGATTTTGGAATGCTCGACTTAACGAGTTTTCTGTTAGTGACCTTGAGGTTATCGTACCCAGAGTGATTCGAAACATTTAGACGCTAGGGACTGAGGTTAAAGGAAGATTGATGCTATAATAATAAAGAAATATGAGGTACATTGTTGAGATTTGCCTTATTTTAAGATCAATGCCCTCTGTTATCAGACATCTGAAAAATGGCTGCCATATTGACTTCAGCAGCCATCTTGGAATTTCATTTTTGGATCAGAGTCCTATGCATAAATCTGATACAAATCTGACATCTAGTATTTAAATTATCAACAATTAATAATCTTTAAAAAAGTGGTAGCCATTTTGAAATAAGCAGCCATTTTAAAATTCCTTTCATATTTTCCTCATGGATCTATATAGTGAATGCTATGTCGGCATCGATGATCAAAAAATAATTATTCCATTGCTACTTTGTTATTCAAGGGATGATGTTGAAGTAAAAATAGTTTTTTTGTAACCAGTGAAAAATTGTTGACAAGTGTTCAATGAACCAATCATGGATAAAAAACACTCTGTACGATATCCTCTTCATAAACATCACTGTTTTGTGTATTTCAGAAATCCCCTAACACAGATGGATGACGAAAAGAAAGAACACGTTCAAAAGCTGAAGAAGAAAGAAGCAGAGATGGAACAAGTGTTTGAAATGAAGGTCAAAGAAAAACAGCAAAAACTAAAAAATTCGGAAAATGATGTAAGTGTGCAAATGCATGTTAAAATCCTTATGAAATGTAATCGAGATCCTGAAAAAATCCAGAAAATTTAAATTGCTTCCAAAATTGGTTGAAGACATCTTACTTGCAAATTTGGAATAAAATGTTTCATTATTAAAGTTTTTCAATTAAATTGTTGGTTGACCTGCTATAGAATTAATTCTCAGTGGTTCTTCACATGCATGTAATTAATAATAATGGGCTGTATAGATGGTTTATTAAATACTGCGGTGTATTTCTTGTTACAAAGAAACCCAGAAAAGATGAAAATTCTAGAATAATTAAGAATATTGAATTAATACAAATGACTAATATTCGGGATGTGTTGGAGGTTCAAAAAATATTGCTCTATATTTCTAGCTACAAAGAAGGGCAGAGTGTTGTTTTCATTTTAATTTGTTATGTTGCCACCAGAAGTTGTGACAAATTGTAATACTCTCAAACTTTGTTTCGGTGTTTGGCAGTTGGTGTATGGCAATGTGCTTGGTGTTTGATGGTTTATGTTCGGTGGTCTGTCCCTGTTACAAATGGCAGGTTGTGACATTTTTGCATGTTGATGCCTTGTGTTGCCTTTTGCTAGAAGTTCTTATAAATCCCTGTTGTATTTTTTTCAGCTGCAAAGAAGGGCGGAGCAGATGAAGAAAAGTCTAGAACAGCAGCAGAAGGAGCTAGACCTAAAACAAGAACAATTCGAAAAGGAGAAGGCCCAATGGGAAGAGCAAGCACGGCAAATCGAGGATCAGCTAAGGCGAGCCTCTTTTGAGTCTCAACGAGAGTATGTTAAAGTCAAAATCCCGCACGCCAAACTTTTCCACTTTCTGGAATTTTGGATTTCACCTTCTATGTTCTTCTAGATCCTGGTTAGACTAATGCAGAATTTTCTTCATGCTTTTTTCGAAGCTTGTGTTTTGTAGAAGTGAGTTTTTTCCTGTTAGACTTCGTCCAGTTCAGGCAGTGTTTTTCTCGCTTAAATTGTTTGAAGTTATACTTAATTATATTGATGCCCTCATGGTTTAACTGATTTGGATTTCTGAAGTGTTTGTATCAAGGCTATAGAAATATTATATTAATTTTTTGAGTATTGAAATCTTGAAAACCAACTTATTTTAAAAAAATCATTTAAAGGCTCATTTACTGTACTAACGCATTTAGTAGAGTGTCAGAAAAATTCAAATTACCTCATTCCTCAGACCTTCACAAGTTAAGAAATTTTAGAATTGCTCAAAATATTGCGAATATAATTTATTTTTTAAATTTCAACATGGCTAAAGATGACGGGTCAGATTCTATAATCACCCAAAAATGTTCTAAATTTGCCATTTGGCTTGGTCAAAACTGAGGTTGACCAGCGAACATCATCAATGAGAAACTTGTAGGAACCGTGTAAATTGAACTTCCCCCAAGATTTTTCAGAAAAACTTAAGGAAAAAATAATATTTGGATGATCAAAAAGTATTTTAAACTCAGGATTTGGCCTTTTTGAGTCACAGACACCCCGAAAATCCTAATCATTAAGGCTTGAACAGCTTAAAAATGTCTAGAAGTTTTTATGTCTCTGAGTTTTCTGCGTTAGTCAATTGGGTGAATATTTAATGCACAATTCACTGGTGATGCGGGTATAACTGAATCTTACCATAACTGAATCTTACCATAACTCTGAGTCTTACCATAACTCAATCTTACCATAACATAATCGTACCATTCAATATAAAAATGGTGTTATAGTATAATGCATGTTTGGTGTATGTGGATGGAGCAATGCTAGTATAAGTCAGTATAAAGTTTTGTGGAAATAATGTGGTTCCTGAGATGTCAACGGTTGTAGTTCAGTTGGCCAATCTCAAATCTAAGCACATCATAACACTTGACAATTTTTAAGTCAATACACCCCTAAGAGAATTTCAAAAATCCTGTAACTTAAAATCTTGAACTTAAAATCTAAATCTTATTACTTAAAAAACACTAAAAATCCTGAATTCAGTACCTCAATATATGTGATTTTGATTTTTGAATGTTAGGTAAAACATTCAATTTCCTACAAAGTTGTTCGGTGGCTGTTGTTTGGCAGTCTGCATCTGTAACAAATGGCAGGTAGTGACATTTTGCCATGTTGATGCCTTGTTAACCATTTGTAACAACTTATAAAGTGCCAACACTTTGTCATCATTTTAATGCCTTGTGTACCCTAGTGGAGCTGACCAAGAGAACAATCATCCTCTATTTATGATTTATTCATAAAAATGTATTTTTTTATTTTTAATTATTAAAAATGGCTTTTAATTACTCCAGTGGAGAGCATCCAGGGAGATATTATTGCTATTTTTTTCTTTGGGGAGGGTTAGTTACTGATCATATTTTACGTCAAATACCAACATATTGACTTTTAAAGTTGTTTTTTAATACTTATACTTCTTCATGGAAGGATTTTATATCATGATATACTGTATAAGTGGTAATTTTGCCTAATCATTTAATTTGCCTATTTCCTAATTTTTGCCAGGTTCGGAAAATTAAATGTCGGAGATATTGTCTTTATAATGTTATCCAATGGGAGGTTTCTTGTCATTAGGAAAATTAAAATTAGGAAAATGATGAAATTTGACCATTCGGAAAATTAACCACTCGGATTAAATACCACTTATACAGTAATTAAAGAGAGAATCAGATATAGCAAGCTGGCTAAAGAAAACATTGTTTCAATTTTAGAATATTTTTGGCTCGTGTCATTCCTTGTCATGTCTTTTTTCTGAAAATCACAAAAATGCATACTTTATTCTAGTAAAACTAAAGATTTTAAGAATAATGTATTATTTTATTATTTTGGAGAATTTAAACATTTTCACTCATCTTTGCACTTTGAATCATTAATAACTTCACCAATTTATAACATATTGTGAATCTTTTGGGAGATATTGTACTTGATATTGTAAGGAATAGATTGGTAGGTCAATTATACATGTTGCTTGTAATTTTGTCACCCCCTATAGATCAGATTCTGCCTTTAAGTCTAAACTTAGTTTTAACCAAATAGTTGAAACTTGCAGACAAAAATTATTGGAGACCCTGTATGTTTAGTGATGTGCTATATAATGTGGCTCATTTTAATAGTACAGGGTGGTCCAAAATCAAGAAAATCAATATTTATTTTTGAGTGTCCCATTTTTTGGGACTACCCTGGAGATATGAAGCTGCTGCGTGTATTGACATCACATTTTAGTTAAGGTTCTTCACATTATCAACCTAAAGGACCGAGTCAAATATCAAATGTGTCAATTGGATGCAATTTCATTCAAAGCATATATTATTAAAGGATATAATTTTGTCCATAGGGATGTTGTCCATTATCAATAATCATGAAAAGATGAAGTTTATTTTGTGATGGCTTGACAACCTCCTTACCCTCATCTAACCAAATTTTAAATGTTGATTTGTCTTTCACTCGAATGTTAAAAAAGTACACACTATTTGCTAACAAACTCACCATTTTATCCCCTCTTCCTAACAGTGCAATGTTGCAAATGGGACACAGTCTCTTTTGTCATTGCATTGTTTTTAAGTTATAACAAAAAGAGGTGTTTGTTATTTTTGTAGAAAATTCACTTTTTGATTCTGTCCCCTAATGTTGTCTGTTGACACATTTTGTCTCAAACAGGTTTCCATGGAAACTAATGTGTGTGTAGAAATTGAATGGATTCCCGAAAGTAAAACAGTGTCTTAAATGTGTAAATCACAATGTAGAAACTGCTTGAAGTGGAACACCTAACAAGTGAAAAGTTTTTTAAAAGTCCATTGGCCCATTGATTCCCAAAATTTTTTATTGTTAAAATAATTTAATTCACCAAAACATCATATCTTACTGAGTATGTATAAGTGTTGCCTACAGTATAAAAGAATGTTTGCAGCCGAGAGGACATCCTCCCTAGCAGGTATCCAGAATCTGTACCTCCTTCTTCCCCCTGCTATAACCAATTTGGAAGTGCCCGATTAAACTGAATCATGTGATCTAATTATGCTTAATGACTTATACATGATTTCTGTCGCAGTGTTGCGACAGCCAATCAGATTGCAAGTTCTTAATCTGGGAAGTGCTAACTGCTTATCGCAGGGGGTAAAAAGGAAGAATATATTCTGGATTTTGAAGCCCTGTGATCGGAGGATGCTGAGAGGAATAGTCCTTTAAGTAGAGCACCTTAGACAAGTTCTACTATATGCATGTCTCGCCTTAATTTGGCACCATCTATTCAATATAATACTGCATATAAGCATGCAGCCTCGGGAACATCCCCCAAACACAGGTGTTGAAAAGTCATCCACAAGTTCTACTATATGCATGTCTCGCCTTCATTTAGCACCATCTATTCAATATGATACTGCATATAAGCCTGCAGCCTCGGGAACATCCCCCAAACACAGGTGCCGAGAAGTCATCCACAAGTTCCTTCATTCTAGGAAGAACAAGGTACAAATTCTGAAGGCCTGTTGTGGGAGGAAGCTTCAGAAATTGTGGACATGAAATCCTCTCGGCAAATTTTTTTCACTTTTTTTCCACAATGGCAATCATTTGTAGACATAATTTTGGTAATTTAAGAAAAAAAATGTTTAACAAATTTTTTTTCATGTCAGGAGCTATGATTGTGTTATGTTCTGCTTATATTTTGTAAAAAAGGCCAGTTTTTACATTTGCTGGTGATTTTTTTTCATGAGATATTTTTCAAGTTGCAATCCGCTGATCATTTGAAAGAAATTTCAACAAATTGTTAGCTTTATACTAAATTTTTACAAGCAATTTTGACCATGATTTGTGTATCACTCCCAAAAAGGCACGTTGGCAACAACTAATGCAGTCATTAAGTGGATTGCGTTGACTCTATCCAGCATGATGCTTTTAAAAAGGTGCTGCTAGCGAATGGATATTGATACCATTTCATAAGGGATTTATGAGAAACACTCATTTGCTTGTTTTCTATGTTAAATTCAGCTTTGGGCAGTTATCAGATTTGGGCAGTCATATCCAGTGTGGGCAGTCATATCTAGATTTGGGCAGTCATATCAAGTTTGGGCAGTCATATCTAGATTTGAGCAGTCATATCTAGATTTGGGCAGTCATATCAAGTTTGGGCAGTCATATCAACATTGGGCAGTCATATCTAGATTTGGGCAGTCATATCAAGTTTGGATAGTCATATCTAGATTTGGGCAGTCATATCTAGATATGGGCAGTCATATCTAGATTTGGGCAATGATATCAAGTTTGCTCAGTCATATCTAGATTTGGGCAGTCATATCAAGTTTGGACAGTCATATCTAGATTTGGGCAGTCATATCTAGATTTGGGCAGTGATATCAAGTTTGCTCAGTCATATCTAGATTTGGGCAGTCATATCAAGTTTGCAGAGTCATATCTAGATTTGGGCAGTCATATCAAGTTTGCGCTGTCATATCTAGATTTGGGCAGTCATATCAAGTTTGCAGAGTCATATCTAGATTTGGGCAGTGATATCAAGTTTGGACAGTCATATCTAGATTTGGGCAGTCATATCTAGATTTGGGTAGTCATATCTAGATTTTGGCAGTGATATCAAGTTTGCTCAGTCATATCTAGATTTGGGCAGTCATATCAAGTTTGCAGAGTCATATCTAGATTTGGGCAGTCATATCTAGATTTGGGTAGTCATATCTAGATTTTGCAGTGATATCAAGTTTGCTCAGTCATATCTAGATTTGGGCAGTCATATCAAGTTTGCGCTGTCATATCTAGATTTGGGCAGTCATATCAAGTTTGCAGAGTCATATCTAGATTTGGGCAGTCATATCAAGTTTGCGCTGTCATATCTAGATTTTGGCAGTCATATGCAGTCAGAACATTGCTTCTAGATGTCTTTCTTATACCTGCTATTTTCAATAAAGTAAAAGAAAGGCAATTTCCTGACCCATAGTTCTTCATTAACAGAAACTGCCCTGTCATCTCATCACATGCTGCAACATGCATCAATAATTAACTTTTAGCAGAACTTTTGTTTGAAAGATACATTTGCACCTACTTGCGCTTGCACATCCTGAGATATATTAAAAAAAACTTTGTTTACACTTCTATAATATTCACATGTACTGTAGTGTGAATATGGCATGAGTGGCAATTCTGCTGAGGTGAAGATGCTTTCTTTGTGAAAAATTTAATTTGACATCACAAAGATATGCCCTTCTTAATCATGGACGAGCCTTTTATTTATAAGAGCTGTTTGTCACGATAAGCTGAATGGAATTAAACATACATGATGTAATCAAGATATTAATGGCTCGTAAACTATCAATCGTGACTTGAGAGTGGACACAGACAGAGAAATTGCTTGCATCAATTAACATTTTTTATAGCTTTGTAACCACGTTGACCGATGCTCCTACGAATTATTTCCTCCATTAGGACAAGTGTAAATTAAGCCCCACTAATATGAACACTTATGGGGTTGGGTAAGTGTGCACATTTTGTGGTGTTCATTTTGAAGAATAGGTTCTTACATGGGAACCAATGGGATGAATAAAAACGGGAAAGTATTCATGTAACAAAAGTGTTCATCTAACGGCGCTAGATTTAACATGGGAGCCAATGGGAGGAATTAAAATGGGAAAAGTGTTCATGTTACAAAAGTGTTCCAACTAACAACTCTTGATTATATGGGATCCAATTGGAAGGAATAAAAATGGCCCTAGGGTATTAATCTAGGATTAGGTGTACGTGGGCAAGCATTTTATTGATAGACGAATTCACATGCAATATAATGTGCGTACGCCTCTGTCGACCAAGTTAAGCACAGACATGACAATGTCATAACAAACTATTTCTTTATTTCCTTGTAGAAATGTCAAGAAATTTTGATATTTAACCAAAATAGCCCAAGATATTTGAAGCGACATGCACACGCAATATAATGTGAGCAAATCCCCGAGGACGAGGATCAAGGTTATACAATGTGACACAGAACCCATTTATTTTGGAGTATCTTTCTTGTTAGTTGAGATATCTTCATGATTTTTATGTGTAGATAGAGTGCTCAGTAATCAACAATTTGGAAGAGATGTCTCATTTTCCACTGAGGCATGCTCCGAAGCAAAGCCACTCAAAAATGTAAATTGGGAAATCTGTGTTTCTTAAAATTTGCCCAATTCATTTGTCAGTTCATCAAATTTGACAAAATTATTTAGAAAAAGGGGTAGAACTGAAATATTATTGATAATTATATGTATTAGCCAGGGAAAGCAATCCAGAAATGACTCAAATAATGGCTAAGACAGAAATTCCAGATTTCAGAAAATTGTATTTTTGAGCAATTTTTGACGATTTCACTGAGATCATAGTGATATCCAGGATGCTGATGCTATCCAAGTACACCAATCATTTATTTATTAAGCCAGCCAGTCATCAAGGAATTTCGACATTGTAAAAAGTGTCAGGAAAACATCTGAAATTTTGCATCAGAGCTCGGAAATTGAAGTATAAATTGATAAAAATTGATAATGTCGTAAAGAAATTGAAATTATTGAGATAAATGGACTGAGATTGTGTGAAGCAAAAATTAAGAAATAAAAATGTTTGTAAGGGAAATGCCATGTGGTTTATTCTGAAAAGTTTGTAGGAAGCCCGAAGAGCATGATGCCATGCTTGGGAACAATAAAACTTTTTCGTTATTAATTTTTAAGGACTCTCAGGCAATGAATAAATGTGAAGATGTCATCGGAGACTAGGATTATCATCAATGTAACATTTGAACAAGAATGTCAATTTTATAATAAATAATACTTTTTTTATTATTTAATGGAACTCTCAGGGGAAATACAGAGATTTTTCTGACAAAATGCCATTAAGTCCTTTGGTCTTAGGACTGAAAAATGATTCACTAATAGAGGTGTTCCACTTATAGAGGTGTTTATCTTCTTTATGACATAATTTCACAAAGTTTTGATCAAAAAAGAAATCTGAAGAATCCTTTTCAGGAATTTTCGTTATCTGCTCCATTGTTAGCTTCATCCATGGCAAATATAAATCTTGGCGTGTTATATCCGTACAGCCACATATGACATTAATGTGATTTACAAATACAGGTCCATTTGAAAATGATCTTTAATTGCTTCAAGGTAACATACATATTTAACACACACCAATCATGCATTATACATTATTATACCAAACCAATGCTTTACTGATGTTCATGCATTACCTTATTTTGTGTTTTCAGGTCACAAGACAAAAAGAAAGACAAAAAGAAATCCTTATTTTAATAGAGACATTTACAGCAATTTCTTGTCACAATGAAAACCAGTCATCATATTCCTTGTCATGAATTCCCATAATGCTTTGCAAAGGCAAGCAGACGTATGTAAGATGTGCATGAAGAAATAACAGCAATCCAACAATTAAAGGACACAAGACATGAATACATTCAGAACAGCTGTTTTTCAAGTATACAAGAGACATATAGTCTAGCTACAAGCCCTTGTCCCCCCCTGAAACTACATCTGTGTGAGGTGAGTAGTGAAGTAGAAGGGGGTCACTGAGGCTTGTTGCTAGTCTTAGAGACATATAAAAAATGAACAAAAGCATACTACTACTAAGGTTAACAAGTTCCAATAAATCAACATACATGTAAGTATTTATCAATGAACTATCTTTCCCCTACATAATCAGGGGATTTATAAAAATAATTCCAAGTATTCATAAATATGTATTAAAGTATTTTATAAGTCAGGATGTATTAAATCATCATTTATTACTTAAACCAGGCATATGTAGCACAGTATATTCCATGATTTGAGCAAATACTGAACTGCCATAATCACCATTTTTAAAGGGACACTGTAGATATGTCAAAATGTGGTCATTATCATTTGTACACAGTGTTTACTGCTTATTTAAAGGAATTCAACCAGTACCTCTGATCCCAAAATACACCAAAATTCAGAATTTTCTTACACAATGATCTTTCGATTCTGTAAATAATGAAGTTAGGAACGAGTCGTTCATGAAGCCCTTTAAAAGATACATGTTCAGCTTTATTTTCTAAGAATGTATATGTTGTATACATGTACTAGAATAGCATGTGAGTTGTAATGTTTAGTTTCGTACACAAGCCAGAAAAACCTGATTGCCATTTTGTCCTACCTGTAACTCAGCTGTCAGGTTTAGGTCCTGCAAACAAGTCAGAAAAATATTTGAGCTTGCATTTTCTCGATATTTGAGCTGGCATTTTCACGATATTTGAGCTGGCATTTTCACGATATTTGAGCTTGCATTTTCTCGACTTGTATGGAAGTCAGGTTTTGCTTATTATGATGATAGCATCAATCCTATTTGATCAATTGACTTTTCATTCATATCCTGGTATGAAAACCTCTTACGATTCCTACTTCCACCTTTTAAATATCCAATTAGAGATGGTTATTGTAAGTCACGTGCCAGATGGAGAGTGCCTAAGATCAGGAAAGTTTGAACTCTTATGAATTCCGCACCCAGAGTCTAATTTGAGAGCTTGTAAGTATCAATTTAGGGTAATATTTCAAAAAGATATACAGGGTGTCCATACCTTAAATAGACTTTGTATCGTAATTGTAAATGGACTCCATGGGTCACCCTGTATATTCAATAGAATGGTTTTTTTTCTCAATAGTTAGATTTCGCTTTTTTAAAGTTTCTTCTAGACTCGTTGAATGGGAAATAATTGTTTGATCTTGCATCACCCAATCAGGAGAGGTCGAGCAAAATTGATTGACCAATCAGAATGGCAGTCACTGCATTTTAAGCTGTCATGAGTACCTGGCAATTGGATTTGTTTCATCTTCAAATTTCTACGAAATGTAATGGCAGCTTCTTTTGGGACATTGAGAGTGAGTCATAAGAACACGAACCTCAATGCCTCGGGGTAACCCATGGGAGCTCTTCATAGAAAGAGGATAATTTATTTGGCGATTTTAGTTATCAAAGTTGTTTACAGATGATGGTTTTTAACCCAGTAAGTCATCATGACCTGTTGACTGACTTAATACATTTTAATAGTTCTCTCGACATAATAGATCGCATAACAGAAGATAATGTTCTCGGGTCTAATCTAAACTGTAACATAAATGTCATTCTGTCCCTTTAGGACCGTAAGAAGAGGAGTTTCAAAGGGAATGTGGGAATTCCCAGCTCGGTTCATGTGAGTAATTGCCAATCTGGAAAAATAGTCAAATTTGACCATAATTCAGATAATTTTGGTAAAAATTCAAGAAATTTGGGAAATTTTGAGGAATTTGATTGGCAATTTTGGTGAGGTTTTTATTAACCTTATACTTTTTTCTTTTTTTCAAAAAACAATAGATCCCCCTTTAGAATTTGTTGCTATGTCTGTGTATCTTGATGATTACGCTACTAAATTACAAAATTACCTCTTTGATCTGACGTCCTGGCGAAAATAACTAAATTGTAAATATGTGATCTATCATGTCTATTTGAGGATCATGTAGAATGTCAACATTGAAATAATTTGATCAATGAAGTTCAAAAATAGACTTCTTAATCACTCCAATGATGCCATTATTGAGAAACATAATACAGGTGAAGCCATTCCATTGTTAATGTTCAAATTATTTGTCTTTGTTGGTAAAATCCAAATGGGTTTTATGAGAGTGTTTTACTGATTATTGGTTTAATTTGCTATTTTTAAATGTAGACAGCTATTTTTTTTTTCATTTGGTGATGTTCTGTGAAAATTTCCTTCAAATTCCCTTCCATGAAATAACATGTGTTGATTGAGATACATATACCAGGTCGTTCAATAAGTTTGCGGAAAACTTTTAATGGGGGATGCTCAAAAGATGGAATAGCGCTGAAATATTTGCAGCATTTCCGTTGGTGATGCATAAAACATTGAATATCTCTGAAGTCTAGACTACTGTTATAAAGTCAGCCTGGGGAAATATATGTCGACATTTTGATTTTCAATCATAAACTGACGCATATATAATCTGTAATCTGATTGGTTGAGTAAATTGTACGTTAACCTCTCTCAACCAATCAGAATCCAGATACAAGTATGCCAGCAGCTCTCATCGTGTACATAGTGAAAGCCTTTACGTGAATATGTGTATGTCTTATTAATTATTTCTAACGCAAACTCGTATAAATCTAGCTTTTGTAACATCAATTATTATTAGTATATTCATGTATATATCAGTAAATATGATGTATTGTAATTTGAATTGTATAGCTTTAAATGTCATATGCCTTATTGCATAGGTGTTTATGCAATTATTTCCATTTAATAGTCTCGGCTTACATCTAATGAATATAGTGGTATTGAATCAGCACAACAAACTCTTCTTTTGGCTTGTTTCCATGGTTTCCATTAACAAGAGACTTTCACATTTAATTCAAAATTCTCGATTGCGCACAGACACTTAATGAATTTCTGATTTTATTAAGGAGATGTTCTTCAAAATACGAGAAGTCTTGCTCCAATCTCTAAAAACCTAGTTTAACCTTCACAAAAGGTGAAGAAGTTTTGGGAAGTCTAGAGACTTGAGGCAAGGCCTTATTAACAAACCTAATACTTCTATCCTAATTAGAAGTGAAAGTCACGTAGGTGCTTACGTGTTGATAATATCCTGATAATGTAAGAGAATGCGCCGTCATGCCTAGAGCTTTAGTTTCCAATTTAGTGCATGTTCAGACATACAGGTATGCTATGTCATCTGTCTGTCTAGAAATTATTAAAATTTTACCGAGGCGTAAATATCGTAAATTCCATATTGAGGAGGTTAAAAAGGGTGTGTCTTTAATTTCTCGAAAGTGTCTCAAAATGGCAACTGTAAAAACCCAACCTTGTTTTTCCAGACTTCTGAGACTTAAAATGAAGAAAATTTGAAGAAAAATATGGCAAAATTCTCATTTATTCTTCATGCCCGGCATGTTCCCCACTTTTTGCTCTCTCGTGCTTAAGCTATCAATTTTTCCCTCAATATTCCTACTAAAATCATTGTAAAAATGTAACGCATATACGTAGCATATTGTAAATGTCTTAGTATAACATGTACAGAATTTGTATAGACCGTGTATACATGTACTTGTATAGGAATTAAAAAATTGTATAATAGTATTGTGTTCTTTTGTTTTTTGTACAATAGTTTGTTAGATTGTGGATTGGAGCTATTTGGCCGAGTCAAGTCGGACTGATATTCTTGTCCTGGTTCCAATGTACTGTAGATATGTGATGACCTAATTCATTTGGTGACCTTATTCATACATTGACCTTATTTATATGCTGCCCTAATTGGGTTGATATGTTAAAGATATTTTTGAGAAATACACCTTGAACAAGTCCTAAACAAAAATTATTTTGATTTAAATTTTACATAGGGCCTTTAACATATAACCACAAGAAAAGAGTATTAGATTATTTCATGCAACCTGAGTATGATCTCAGGCTACCATGGCGACCATAACAGTGTTTCCTGAAATATTTTAACTTTACATTTCCGGTTCTTATATGTGGAAAAACGCACTTGAACATGGTTGGTGCATATTCTTAGTCATAACCCCCCCCCCCCTCTTACTGCCTCTGCTTCTATTCACATCTTCACCTTCAATATTGCCCAGGTCCTCATATACAGTATAAATTTAGAAAATATGAAAAACATGGAATATAAATTAATGTTCCTATTTAATTCAGAGGGGATAGTATTAAATATACTCTCGAAATATATATCTTTATAGAGAGAGATAAAATAATGGAAGGCATCCAATGAAATCCTGCAATGATCAGATACCCTTAAGATATAGATAATTAGTCAAGCTTTTTCATTCATTTTTTTGTAAGCTGTACGATTTGCCCAAAGGCGGGATAAAAGTATGATAAAGCTCATAATAATAAAAATAGTAAAATTTTCTAAACTGGTAGCCATGGAGACCAGTCAAGTGTTTGGAATTGAAGGTGTTCATATTTTGGAGTTTTAAAATGATGACAATCTAACATGAAAAAATGGGATCTTCTAAAAAGTGTTCACATTAAAGTGTTCACATTGAAGTGTTCGCGTTAAAGTGTTCAATAAAAGTGTACACATTAAAGTGTTCAATAAAAGTGTTCACATTAAAGTGTTTAATAAAAGTGTTCACATTAAAGTATTCAATAAAAAATTTCACATTAAAGTGTTCAATAAAAGTGTTCACATTAAAGTGTTCAATAAAAGTGTTCAATTAAGAGAGGTGTTTGGATACAGAAACGTACTATATTCACTGAATGACACAATTTAGCCTCGTTATGTAGCCATTTGAATGAGAAGTGGTGATATTGTTACATTTCTGTAACACATATGTTACACTTATCATTCTGTAACTTTTGACATGTTACTCATACACAGTAGGAACCACTCAGGTTTTGATTCAAACTAGGATATTTCTCTTGATGGAGACAATAAGCCAGTTTACATTTAATAGAACAATATTTACTTACATCATCATTGATAAGGGGTGAACGCTCTTTAATAGCTCAGTTAAGAACTGGTATACTTCCTTCAGCAATAGAAACGGGGAGATTTACTCAACCAAAAACCCCAGTAAACCAAAGACCGTGCCAAATTTGTAACTCAAATAAAATTGAAAATGAAACGCATTTCGTATTTGAGTGTTCGTATTATTCAGAAGCTAGAAAGCCTTTTCTTCAAGAAATCAAAGACAATTCCTTTAAAGATATCTTTGAAATAAAAAATAGATTAAAATGCTTTGGAAAGTATTTGCAAAATATATTCTATATAGGGAAAAGAGTTTTATTTAAAAATCAAAATCAATAATGATGTTGAACTGAACTGCACTAATTTTATATTTGTATTGTTAAAAATGTAACTTATGTAAAATGTGTCCCATAAGTCCAGGTAGGGCTGGCTATCTTAGATAGGTGACACTTAAATAAATGAATGAATAAATAAATTCATTGGAACAGAAGTTGGGAAGTGATGAACATTGGGTCACAAAAATGAGTAAAAAATTTAAATAAAACAAAACCATTGTTTAATAAATATATATATTTGGTTCATTTTATTAATACTGGTGAATATTTTATACAAAACTGCATTTTCTAGATCAGATTTTAGAATATACTTTTTTGTACAATACAATTATTTTATAATACTTGTAGTGAACACTTTCCATTTCTAGCGTGGTGCTTGAAGTTTAATATTTACATTTACAAATACAAATGATTGTTTCGATTTATGTGCACCCCATTTCAAAATGTTCAGAAACCCTGTGTCTTCATTTTAATTATTTTCTTTAAAATAGGTCTAAAATGTATAGCTGATGAATTTTCAAAACTCTCAACATTTTTACATTGAAATTTCCAAACTTTCTGAATGAAGTGTAGTATTCATAATATAAAATAAATATGCTTTTGAAAATAAAATGACAAAATTATTTTTGAAACTTTTGTAAGACGTGAGTACTAAGACATGAGTACTACCTAGGATGTTGATGTTCTTGAGTAAATAAAAAATATACTAGAATTCAAAATATTTGGAAACATCAGAATAATGACAAAAGAAAGTGAAAAGTGAAAAGACACCCTGCATGCTAAAAAGTATTTAATACTTTTAGTAATTGCCAAAAGCTCCAATTACAAATACTTATGACGTTTTCTCTAAAAAGAGATTTATATCTAATAAAAATAGATCTATATCTAATCATCTAATGATAATAATACTGAACTATAAAGTCCCCAAATCGGCAATAATGCAGAATTCCTCACAGTCTGTTTATATTTAAAAGTAGAAATCATTGTAACATGATTTCAAAGAAATCAGAAAAACTTTTCCAATTTCATTTTTTGATTGTTAATATTATTTTGTATCCACTATCTACCATCTACCGCCATCCCTCAGTTGCAATATTCCTGCTGTATTGTGGGTAAGTATCTCTGTATCTGGCACTGAAAGGGTTAAAAATAAAATGGTTACTGAATTGAAAGGGTTAAAGAAAAAATGACTACCGAATTTAAAGACAAATTGATGACTGAATTGCAAGGGTTAAAGGCAAAATGATTATTATTATTTCTAGTTGAATTAACAAATGTCACTCAATTAACAACCAATTAAATTGTTTAATTCATATCTTTCAATTCATATCCTCTTTCTCTTATTATCTTATACACAATCAGGGTCAGTAAGTGCGGGGACCATAATCCCTGGGCCCATTTTTTTTTCACCTGGAATATGTTATTTCGAGAGTTTCATCTTTGAATTATGGGTAATTTCCTCCTCTTAATTAGTTATACTTACTATACATTAGCGGGCATTGGGCGTTGGCCATACTGATCCAATTGTGGCTCTTGTTTAAGCGTATATTGCCATGACGCCGTGACGTCTGGTTTGGTGTGACGTACAGCGTAACCAACGTAACGGAGATCTACAAATAACAATAATATAAGTTATTGAATGATTTGAAGTGCAATACAGGATATATTCTGTTCGAGAAGATTTGTATTGGTACGAGACGAAGTCGAGTGCCAATACAGAATATCGAGACAGAATATATCCTGTATTGCACTTCAAATCATTCAATAACGTTTTTATCGTGTGATCTTCTGTATTGCTACTGAGATTGTCCCCTCCGTACCAATATTTTCTGTATTGCGACGGAGAAGATGAACGGGGACAACTTCAGTAGCAATAGAGATTGGTACAACACAAGAACTGACCAATCAGAGGGCTTCATTTTACAGATCATACGATAATATGAGTTATTGAATGATTTGAAGTGAAATACAGGATATATTCTGGTCGAGAAATTCCGTATTGGAGCGACACGAAGTCGAGTGCCAATACAATATATCGAGACAGAATATATCCTGCATTGCACTTCAAATCATTCAATAACGTTTTTATCGTGTGATCCTCTGTATTGCTACTGAGATCGTCCCCTCCATACCAATATTTTCTGTATTGCGACGAAGATGATCAACGGGAACAATCTCAGTAGCAATACAGATTGGTACAGCACAAGAACTGACCAATCAGAGGGCTTCATTTTACAGATCATACGATAAACGTGAGTAGTGTGTGTTAGATATAACCTCGTGACTGACAATATTATCTTTGAATTTGAAATATACCAATATGATTATTAAATGTACTAGAAAGGCAAATATTTGAAAATAGATTTCGAAAAATTGCACAATTTCTCCATAACTCCATGTCATGCCTTTTTCTAGGATAACCCAAAAAGTTCCAACTTTTTCAGGTTTTTAGGTTATCTTACAAACATTGAAAAAGGGAGTACCTTTTTTTTAATTCTAATGAACATCGTAATGTAATGTTCAACGACTTCTATTGAACAGATATTTGATTTCTTTTCTCAGAAAGTTAAACTAAAATTGTAAGCCTATTACATATACTCGTAGTCGTAGACTAGACAAATTGCTTCTTAATTTACCTTTTGAGATCACAATCCATCATTTCACCTTGAACTAGAAAGATAAACTATTTCAGTCTACGAGCAAGTTGATAGGGAGGATAATTATAAGCTAGACATTTTTTAGAAAACGTGTCACGTGATTGTCCTCTAGGGATACGTTCTCCGTCGTGATCGTGATCATTATGCCTTGGTCACATTTGCTCCGATTTTCACTACGGCGCCCGGCCGATTGAGTATTTTGTTCAAAATTGAATATAATATTGAACAAAACACTCAATCGGCCTGACATCGGCATTACTTGCCAGACTGAGAAAAGATAAGTAGTTGTAAAATAAGGTCTCTGTGAAAACAATGGATGGAGTAACCCTTGGGTCACGATATTACATATACGGGTACACGTACGCTTTGAAATGTTTAGCTTATTTATGATCACAACGAGTAAGTTTCCGAGACTGACAATTACATTTTTACTTACTTTTATCGTTTGGCAACTCGGGAAGTCTAATATTGTATCTATCTGGCGTCTCACTCAGAAACGATGACCATTGTTCTTTAGTTTTTCTGCAAATATGATAATGAAAATTGTTATTGAATACAACATATGATAATTTGTGAATTATAATATGATTGTTCCATTCCTATAATGTTTCGCCCCTTGGACAGTTCACCCCTAGACATTTCACCTCCTGGTCGTTTCTCTCCTGGACTATTCATCCCTTTGACACCCCTAACCAAAGTAAAATTCAGTATTCAGAGTGAAATGTCAAGGGGAAAAATCTCTAATGGATGTAAAATCTTTTGGGGGTGAAACGTCCACGGGGTGGAATATCTGAGTATTAAATCATCCAGGGGGTGAAATGTCTAAAAGAGAGAAAAGTCTAAAAAGCTAATGCGTATAACTGTTATACATGTATATTCACCGCATAAATATCACATAATCACATTAATATTACAAACATGTATGCGTGTTGACTTGCGAGTGTTGTTTTTCAAGTATATAGCTAATAAATTAATATTAACAAGGATTTGTGTATATATTTGCAAATTGCAGATTATGAAATACGAGGCTTTATATAACTTTGTAACGTGGGTTGCATGTGGGTTTGAGTATTTGACAGCCATAGATAGCTTTCTCGACGTGAACCTAGTAAGGCAATTACATTTATGGATCTTTAATTAACCTTTTATTTTTCACGTGATTATAATCCCAGGAACCTATGTCGGATATTTCTAGGAATATTCAGCACTATACAGGGTGGTCAAAAAATGGAAACTGTATTTTCCTCATATCTTTGTCATTTTGGGTAATCATTCTCTGAAATTTAACACATATGTACAACATTCAATTTCCTAGCAGCTTATTATATTTCATGACCATCAGATTGATAGTCACAATGGTATAGTACTTTGAACAAGATGCCCCAGTGTGGCCACCATCGCGCTATTGGCAAATCTGAACAGGTTGTCAATGATCTGACTATACTTTTCAGCAGGTATGGCCTGAATGTCATGGATGATCTCCTTTTTGAGGTCTGCAGTTGTCCTGAGGTTATTCTCGTACACTCTTTTTTTGGTGTATCACCACAGGTTGAAGTTAGGTAGGGTCACTTTGGATGATAGGTGCAGGTTTGCCGAAAGTACAATATTGACCACTGGAGCATGTTGTTTAAAGTGCTGTAAAGTTCTAACTATCAATTTGAGGGTCATGAAATACGGGAGGCTGGTAGGAAATTGAATGTTGTATAAATGTGCCAAATATCAGGGAGTAAGCACCTTAAATGACAAAGATATGAGGAAATGACGACATGGTTTCCATTTTTTGAACACCCTGTACTTGAACTCTTTTTTAGCTTTAACATTAGCCAGGGTCATTTTGTTTAATTAATTGTCACATACATCTTTTCGTAATTACCTGAGATTTAATATTATATTTGAATTAAGTTCCTTAATACGCTAACCAGGGCCTTTTGGATAATTGATTGTCATAAATCGTCTGTCACTACCTGGGAAGGGAAAATAACTCACTGAGGGACATCTGTAAATTATCATTAATATTTTTTCTATCAGGTGATTATTATTCCCGGAACCCTGTTCAATGGAAAATGATTTGAATACTGATGATTTACCTCTAAAGTTCTTATTCAGAGAGAGTTAAGCATTTCTCTAATTGGTCTGGCTGGATACTATAGCATAAGGTATTGGATGTCCTTGTGAAAAGCTATATTTTTAAAAATACCCCAAAGCATGTGATCCCTTGAAGAACAAGTGAGTGATTGCAAAAGCTCACCATGTGAGCTAATAAGGACAACAGAAGAAACCATATTCATGGAAACCGTTTAGTTACTTTTATTTATTTTTATATATGAGTGAGTGATTGCAAAAGCTCACCATGTGAGCTAATAAGGACAACAGAAGAAACGCATTTTCATGGAAACCGTTTAGTTACTTTTATTTATTTTTATATATGAGTGAGTGATTGCAAAAGCTCACCATGTGAGCTAATAAAGACAACAGAAGACACCATATTCATGGAAACCGTTTAGTTACTTTTATTTATTTTTATATATGAGTGAGTGATTGCAAAAGCTCACCATGTGAGCTAATAAGGACAACAGAAGAAACCATATTCATGGAAACCGTTTAGTTACTTTTATTTATTTTTATATATGAGTGAGTGATTGCAAAAGCTCACCATGTGAGCTAATAAGGACAACAGAAGAAACCATATTCATGGAAACCGTTTAGTTACTTTTATTTATTTTTAGGTAACAAATTGAATCGTGATCAATTTATATTCATATTACGTTTTGATATTACATTGTCAGTACAAGTGCCAGGTCTTCCGACTCATAGTCTAATTTTTTTTTAAATAACAAATTACATCGTGATAAATTTATATTCATATTACGTTTTATTGTCACGAGTACCAGGTCTTCCGACTCATAGTCTAACTACTCCTAGGCACTGTACTGACAGTCAGGGTGTTTTGACATGTGATATGAGCCCTTAATGAAACATTGTTGCGTCTTCACTTGCAGGCAAACTGAATGGGCTTTTAAGCGATTGGGCTTTTAGACTTGGGGATTTAGGTTCAGCGTTTGACAACCTATATAGATAATTATTTAGTATTCTAGTCTAGTGGTACATGAAAACCTATTTTTACAAGTAATTTTTTTAATGGAATTTTTTTTAATTTCATCATGATCCAATTTTAGTGATATTGTGTTTTATTGTGAAGACGCACAAAAAGTGTAGTTCTAAATAAATAATAAATGTCAAAAAATGACTTACGATAATTCGACGGGAGTTGTATAGTATCTATGCAGTTGTCTGCCGGTCTCTGTGATGCTCTGAAAAACAAAAATAGATACAATAATAGATACGACATTAGATTAATTAATAGAGGCAACAATAAAAGATGCAATCTTACCTTTTGCGAAGGTTTTACACGTCATTACTCCTAAAAATACAGAAGACAAGCCACACGTTTTTTTTAAATTGTGCGTGAACGTGTAGCATCATGACCCCAAGGGAAAACAATTATTTTCTTTATACCTTTATACTCAATATTAACTTTTTTCCTTATACCTTTATTAAACTCAAAATTAAATGCTACTAAGGGGTAATGAACTTATCCACAGAATCCATAAGTCACGATCACTGATGTTCCTTGGTTCTACTCAAAACGTGTAGCCTAACCTCACTATGTATGACGCAAACTGTCCTAAACAAATATGCGAAATATAAATCACAAAATAGACCTAATTAGCCGTGTTCAAGTCGGGATAAACTGATTTATTGGCTGATTTAATGTCAAGATCGATAGCCTCGACCCAGTTCGGAATTGTATTTCTTTAACAAGGCAACTAATGTGACCTCATTGATCTATTCTTAATAAGGTAAATTTATGTGACACTGTATGGCCGGTCACATTGGTCGGAAAACATTGGCCTGAATTTACACGACTCTTGGAATCTCATTCGTCATCCCCACGCCTAATCATCGACAGGTATAGTGACAAAATATACCGTTGTACACTTTAGATGTACGATGCCACTATTTAACCGATTTGAAGCAAAGACGATGATGCAGGTGTGATGTAGGTTGTTGGACACTGCAAAAAAACATGTTAAACACTGGTATTGATCCCTCAAAATCAGAGTGGCACAAATTAGCATTAGGACGGGTAAGATACACTCAGAAACTTAACTTAATGATTAACTGTACTTTGAAATATTCTATCCATTTGTATATTCGAATAAGATGTTCATTTAAACCACAAAGCTGGCGGGTACTGTGAAACAGATATCCTGAGAAATGCATGTATTTTAAACTTATGGACAAGCACTTAACAAACCAAACATTGAATGGAAACAATAAATGGGGCAATAAAAATGCCTTACATGTAATTCCGGCGAAATTGAGACATTAGAACATTTTACTTTATTTTGTAGCTCTCTAGATGCTGAAAGGGTAGCTCTACTAGCCCTTTTTAAAATGGGAGAAGATAATGTACTCCAGATTTTTAAAGAGGATGATGATTTTAATATGATTTTAAAGGCCAAGGCAATTTATTTTATGTATAAAAAACGCAACCTGTTGATGTAAATATGTTTGATAAAATATTGAAAATTGTAATGTACTCACATAGAAATAATGTGGTAATAAAGGATACAATACAATACAATATAGATTGATAGATTCGAGCACTGTTCGAAAATCTTTTAACGTTATTAGAAAGTTAAATGTCTTTCTAAACGAATACTAGCACACAAAAATCAAACATGAAATCCTTAATGCATTCCTCTGATTATTTTTTTAAAACCTACATCAAACCTACATCATTGTCTTTGCTTCAAATCGGTTAAATAGTGACATCGTACATCTAAAGTGTACTGCGGTATATTTTGTCACTGTACCTTGTCGATGGTTAGGTGTGATCCCAAGGCCCAGAAGATGACGACCTCGTTTGAAGAAGTGAAATCGAGCTTTTGAAATGACCCGACTCCTCAAAAATATTGACATAGCTGTGAACTTATAAGATGACGTAAACCTCATTTGTCATCAGAGGACTATTCTCTTGTATTATTCACATCATGGAGTTATCCCTTGAATAAGTGAAATCATTTTCAAGAGTACACAACTAACTATTCAGTAATTAACTTATTTCATCAATAATTGACCCAGTTTTTCATATAAGTTAATCTTAACGAAGAACTGATGGGTCGCACATGGCTTATTTAAAGATTAACACATAAAATGAAATCCCCGTGACTATGTAAAAAGCTGTATAATGAAATAAAACTGGGATGAATCATCTGATAGCCTATCGGCCAAACTGCCCTAATTCACGTCACCATACTAGTCAATGGGCAAAAGGCCAAACGCCTGACTTTTTATCTCGAGTTATGGATTTATGTGGCCTCACTGGCCTATCTGAGGTTCTAAAGCTATGTCTAAGCTACATCTTGACAAAAAACTCAATAGGGGCCAATCATCTACTTTTTGAAATAATTGGTCAATTGTGACACTACCCCCTCTCTCTGCCGACACAAATTGAAATTCACAAAAATCAAGGCAAAATTAATGCGCCACTTGACTCGAAATTTTCCTTCAGATAACCCAAATAAACGCATTTTCAGAAGAAATGGCATGTTGTCATTGCAAAAAGATGACAACTGTGCCTACATACTAGCTTACTGACTCGTCATGATCACAATTGTGTTGGGACTACATTTATTTTTGAATACTACTTTTTTCTATTCAGCGGAAGTGACGTATTAGGGCATTTGGGCCTAATAGCAACATGGTTGGATGATTTCTGGCTTGAAATTGCGTTTTTCCAATTTACTAGAGTTTTTCAAGTTGTTTTGTGCAGTTTAAGAATATTCTGACAGCAATTACGAAAAATATGGCTACTTTATTACCCCTGGGGTCATTTTTCCAAGAACCCAATGGTTTTCCTTTAATTTGACTAGTTTTTCATTTACATCATGAAATCTACTGCCTGATGGTGACATTTTACAATGTCGTGTCAAGAAATTGAGTATTTCATTGCATATTGCGATTTTTAGCCAAAATCACTGAACCATGAACCAGAAAATTGGGTAAATTTGGCCAACTTAGGCAAAATTTTACTAAAATTATCATTTGTTTGATATTTTATTTCATTCAACAACCTCCGGATTTAAAAAATGATGGCAAATTTGATCAGATTTGACTCTGGCCTAGAGAATTGAGACTTTTAGATAGTTTTAGCTCGAATTTGGTCATTCAGAGTGGACAAATACATCAAAAATTGACACTTAACTGACCAATCTCTGACTGTACCCCTGATATGTACCTTCATTTTTTACTAGAAACCAAAAGATGGAAAATTCAATCTTTATTATGAACAGCAACTCATTGGCTTCCCCATTTACGACAACATATGACATCTTGGGGTCATTAAGGACGAAATTATGGCCAAATATCGTCAAAATCAGTGGTTTTGGGGGTAAAAAGCGAAAACTGCTGATTCAGCAAAAACTTTAAATTTGTTCATGAAAATTCCCCTTTTTGCCTACGTCCAGAATATGTTTCGTACTAATAAACTTCAATTCTGGGCGATTCTGAGTAGTTTTAAAAAATTTTGGTCACTCTCACATGTGACTAATAGGCCAAACTGCCCTAATTCACGTCACCATACTAGTCAATGGGCAAAAGGCCAAACGCCTGACTTTTTATCTCGAGTTATGGATTTATGTGGCCTCACTGGCCTATCTGAGGTTCTAAAGCTATGTCTAAGCTACATCTTGACAAAAAACTCAATAGGGGCCAATCATCTACTTTTTGAAATAATTGGTCAATTGTGACACTACCCCCTCTCTCTGCCGACACAAATTGAAATTCACAAAAATCAAGGCAAAATTAATGCGCCACTTGACTCGAAATTTTCCTTCAGATAACCCAAATAAACGCATTTTCAGAAGAAATGGCATGTTGTCATTGCAAAAAGATGACAACTGTGCCTACATACTAGCTTACTGACTCGTCATGATCACAATTGTGTTGGGACTACATTTATTTTTGAATACTACTTTTTTCTATTCAGCGGAAGTGACGTATTAGGGCATTTGGGCCATCGTGTTTGGTATTATACAATGAAACCTGTACATCCGGACACTTTTAGAAAACGCCATCCTCCGAACGCAGGGTTCCAGACATCATCCACTTAGGATGAGAAAACGTTATCTCCTCCCATTGACTCCTATGTTATCAAACCTCATTTAAAAACCTGCTAGTTCAAACACTTTTGGCTGGTCACAGAGTATATGTCAGATTTAACTGGTTTAACTGTATGTCAAAGGATGTACTGAAACAATTTACATGACCACAAGGAGGATTGGCTCCCAGGATCGACAATCGATATTTTCCAAAAATGAAAACGTCGAAATGTCGTTATTTTCTGAAATTATTACCGACGATAAATTCGAAATAAACAGTCGAAAGATTCGAACCAATATCTCGATCATTTCTTGCGATTTTTGGAATTTTTCGTTAGGAATAAGACCAAAATTCACGATTCAAATGTTGAAGTGAACAAAATGGCGGCTGTTTGAATTCAAATTTTGAATCACGACATTTCCATATATGGGACAGAATATCGATGTTGCACTCTGGAAGTCAATCCTCCTCGCATGACCAGGAATCTAATAGACGTAATAAAAATCTTGTTTTCTGAGTGGAAAATCACTGTATATAAAAGCATTATTGAATTCCCGGGTCTCAGGTGAATCCCCCAGGGTATAATAAAAAGTATACAGGTATTAAAAGCCATCTAATGATTTAATTAATCTAGTTCTAATATGTATCTGTATTGTAACTGTAAAAATGCTGCACTACAAGGTTGAATGTGCCACTGTTCTAAAAGTGTTTTAGCAAATGAATGAATAAAAAAATTAATGTGAACGTCCGCAAAAGAGAGGCTTCATATTACCCCCATTACTTGGCACCGTTTCTAATATTTCAATTTCAATTGTTAAAGAGAATTTCGTACACTGGGATGGAGCTCAGTGTAACATTCTACTTAATAGAAACGTACCCTAGGCCTCCAGCTCCTGTTGAATCACGTGTGACATAGTTTATTTTATTCAAAGGATAGTCCGAACAGAAACAAAAACTTTATTAAGAAGAGAGGTTGGGGTCACAAAGGCCCAAAGCAAAAATAAAAGAATAGTATACTTACTGAACTATTAAGTCTTTGTGCGGGTGGAGTAAATAGAGTTGTTGTCGCTCGCTTGAAGTCAGCTAAAAATAGAATATAATGATGGTATAATAGAGATATAATGACTCTTTTTTCAAAACCAAAAATCGTAAAACCTTAAATCCAATGGCAATCGATATCAGTAATGTTATTAATAGCTTGCATTCGATTTGCGATTGCAACTTTCGGCTGTCGGCTACCGGATTAATCTATCAATTTTCATAAATGAATCCATCAATTATCGAATCAGCCACTGGAATACACGACATATAGAAGTCGTATTTAAGTGTTTACCATCAAATTGCAATCAATCCGGTAGCCGCTAGCCGGAATGTGTACCCTGCGCGCAGAGTCTAGTTATAAACGAAGCTCTCTTATGAGAAGCGAAGTCGAACGAATGCAAAGGGTACGAAAGTTGCATTCGCGAATACAAGCTAACCTAAATTACTCTTCAAGTACAGAAGTTCTAGACTACCAGCAAAGGGTAGCTGACTTTTTCTGGAAAATGTAGAATAATGGAACAAATCAATTAGGGTTGTTGACATCATGATAAACATTTAATGGCATTTCTCATTTCAATTTTTAAGTACATATACGTTAACTACCCCGAGAAAAAACTGGGACAAATGAAATATACTACACACAAGCTCAGGCATAATTACACAATACTGGCTATATATAATGGAAACACAGAAAGAGCGTAGGATTTCATTCTGTGTTTTCATTAATACTAATACCGGCGACTGTGAACAATTATGTAGTAGGTATTTGTGGAACATTACAATAGACGCGTCGTAAATAATTCACGTCTTATGCTGTAATGTTTTCAAGGGTACTAACAAGACCTAATCATACTTACACATTCTGATATATTATCAAATTCCCTCTGTTATTTATTTCCGAAGTGATTGAGGTATATGGATTCTGAACCTCGACAATGCATCACTACCATAAGACATGAGTATCTTTTAGGGAGTTTAATAGGGAGTTTAAGCTTGCAATGTTTTTCACGACCTAAACGTGAGCGGAAAATATTTAAGCAATGCATTTGTATTGGCGATTGGTGATACGTATATGTTGGCGTTTCGATTTTATATGCAAGCTTAAACTCCATATTCACTGTTAACAGAGCCCGAAATGGAGCTCTCTTGGAAAAGTAGCTTATCATATTGTCAAGTTCTCAAATACACTCCCCATACGTATGGTAAATGGAAGTCCCCAAATATATCACGACCCGAACTAAATGTAAATGATGTACACATTTAAGTTTTAAACAGTGACAGGCTATATGACATCTAATGAAACGTTTCGGTTTCTAAACTTATGGAGGGGGTGTTCAATTTTTGACGTGACAATAACCTGCCCCACCCTATCCAAACTCACCAACTTGATTTTATTATAACATCAACGCGGTATAATCAGTCAAAATGAAAATTTGTAGAATAATCGAACTGTCTCTAAGGAACATTCACTGAAGGTTTCATGGAAAAATATCAATTATTGATAAAGTTAGAGCATATAGTGCATTAATTCTGGGACAGTCCTCGTACATGTAGCCTTAACTTTAGCTAAATCATTTAGACACACCTTATGTTTTCAACAAGCAAAAACCTAGAAATCAAATGAACTGATGGGTCGTGATTTTTGATCACATGAAACATCGTTTTGTTATATCAGTGTTACCCTACAGATATACACTGTATCAAATAACCTGATGCCTAGATATGAATATGACACTGCCTTAAAAACCCACGTCATCATAATGGCTGGTAAGTACCCCCTAAGCATACGTTAAAAGTTCATTGATGTCAGGTCACTCTGACTTATTGGATCTATGAAATGGACGAAGTCACGCTTTTAAAGTACAAATCTATTTGATTGTTACAGAATATTTTCATTTGACAATGTGAATGAACAAAGGCTTGTCATTTTAGCAGATTTCTATATTTTTATTTCATTTTCTGGAAAAGAATCAGACATCTGGTTAAGCGTATTAAGCGTTATTGAAGAAGCGAAGATGCCAAAATTCATTAATTAAAAAATGCCGTCTAAATAATTTCCAGTTAGCGTAATAAATCAAAAGATTAAAATGAAATAAAACAAGAAAGATGAAACTTAATATATTCAACTAGGTGTAACCAAGGGCGTTACAATACCCGGGAATTTATCGGTTCGTGCAGTACTTGTTTGTGATAGCGCCCTCTGTAGGTCACTATGCTTAATACAGGCCTGTCAACTTGGGAACACCTAACATGAGTGACTTGGAAATGTTGAACACCTCCCCTCAAAATGTGGACACCTTGGTCCAAATCTGAACACCTTGATCCAAATTTTGAACACCTTGGTTTAAATTTTATTACATCTTGCCAAATTTTGAACACCTCAAATTTTTCGCGCACGCTACGCTCGCATTTCAAACATCCGTCAACGGGGGGGGGGGGGGGGGGGGGGGGTAGGTACGAAAACTTTCGAACGGAATGCGTGACATATACGTAATTCGCGTGAAAAGTCCGAACGAAATGCGTACATTTTTTTCCGGCGTTCGTATTTTTGCTGTGTAGACGATCTTTTTAAGAAATTTTTCTGCAGAAATATTTTTGCTTGACAATTACCAGGTAAAATGCGTATTTGCGTGACATTTTCTGTCACGCAAAAATAACTGGCGTGACTTCAAATTCTTCAGCAAATGCGTGACGAATACGCAAAATGCGGGACAGTTGACAGGCCTGTTAATAGCCTACAGTAATTACAAATATATTGGATAATCACATTTATGCGTGCGCGCGCAGCTCATCCACTGAACGAAACGCCACTTCCCGCTGAAATCACCGGGTATTGATCTTTCCCTTGGTATAACATGGAATAGTCAGGCAAACATAGGATAGCATTCAATAACCTTTGATGCACCGCTGTTACATAATATATTCATTAATCTTTTTATTCGAAGATAGCAGATTTAATTGAAAAGGTTGGTATGGATTGCGCATCTGGTTTGGTACCGTCTGGGTAAAAACTAAAATATATGTATACATGATATCAACTAGTTTATCTATTGTAAATATCTAATTGATATTAAAATGTCAGCCCGGATATACTATAAACAAGTGAATTCCTTTTAGTCATATGTAATACCTTAATGGATCTAAAGTGTCAACCTACGCATTCTTATGTCATCAAAGTGACATTTCTCAAAACATTCAAAAGCGTAACATCTTAACCTGACACCAAAAACGTGACACCATAACGTGACATCAAAACAGGGATCGGTCTAAGCAGTAATGTGATGATTGATTGTTAAAATAAATGTACTATAAAATGTACCGACTAGACGCTTTAATCTCCATTGGATGCCTTAACAGCTTTACCCCCCCCCCCAAAAAAAAAAAAAAATATCCGCAAAAAGTATCAGCGACTACTTTGAATCTTTTACTCTTCTTCTTCCTTGTACTTCCTTGCAAACTAGGAAAATGAAGCAAGTAAGTTTTCTATTCTTAGGTCTTTATGACTCGACTGACATTAATGATTAACCGAATTTTATCATAATTCAAGTCGCACTAAATTTGCACAATGGATTATAGTTATCCAATGGATGTACTTAAATGGTTATTTATCTTAGATCGTGAACTTGAATGTCTTTCCTTTCTTGCAAGTGTGTATAGCCTTGAACACTTCACTGTTTGATTAATATTGTGTTAATTATCAAATATTCATAGTAAACTACACTTCCCTTCACAAGTTTGGCAACAGGACGTCTCTTCTCGATCAGTTATCAAAGCCTGATTTATATTTGACGATTTAAAAAATCATCACTCTCGAACCGTATTTAAGCTAAACAGAACCAATGACATGCTTTGATATGCCAGTATGCTATCCCATGAAATTTGCCAAACTTATGACGGGGAGTGTAAGAGGCGAAAATAGCGTACCAGGTCCACAGGCTGTGGTAGTTCTACAATGTTGATCGGGTAGTTTATGAGCTGCTGTGTCCATATCCATCCGTCTGAAAGTTGGAAGGCGGGGGTGGAAGAGTCCCTCCTTGGTTGCTGCCAATTGGACGGTTCTAAGTGAAGGGTACTGGTACGAATAACTCGGAATGTCCATAGGAAGGACCCGTTCGGGCACAGGGGCCGCTTGTTGTACTCCTATAGTAGTCATCGCTCGATATTTTTAATGTCCAAGTTCGATATGGTCGTGTAGCTTGTTTTGCGTTCCTTTCCCTGTTTTTCGTGATTTTGTTCAGTTTCGTTAACTTGCTATTTAGTCTTAAACTGGTCAAGTGATGTTTATCCGGTCCAACTTGCTGAATTACTTGCCTAAAGTGTTCTGTGTTGGGTTATTGTACTTGACTCGACCTGGTTGCCATTGGCTACGTGTATACAATCGTGACGTCACTTGTTTGGGGCATGATAACCCAAATAAATCGGGTCGCATAAATTGGCTATTCTTTTCAGCAAGTAAGCTGTTCAATAAAGAAAATAATAAAGCCTGTTACATTGTAAATAGCGTTCCATTGTGAAGTAGTTGAAAGGATTATTGACTTATCTCATAAACAATGTCTACCGTACAGTAAAAATCAATTGCGAAGCAGTAGGGTTGATGCAAGCAAATTCATCAACTTCGACGGTGGTCCTGGAAATCAAAAGGGAGGGGACCCAAATAGGTTGGGCCCAATTTTACAAAATTTTTGGGCAAGTTTCTTAAAAGTTAGATGTTTGTGGTGACAAAAATGCATAGTACAAATGCAATGTTTTCATTAAATTAATTGTTTGATGCCCAGAAAATATTAGAAGGTTTATCCAGGATCAGGGCAATTTTCGAAATGTTCGAGTATTCGAAAATTCAGATATTACTGCATTTCGAGGATAAATATTAAAACATTATACAGGGTACAAAATACTTTTCAACAATTTCAAAATTTTAGACTTGTTACTTTTAAAATGGAATATCTCCATAAGTGGAACAATTTGACAAGTTCCATTGCCTTAACCTATTAACTGAGCATCTGTAAGTGGAACATTTCCAAAATTGAATAATGGCAATGGTTATCCATTTAAACAAGTTTTACTTAACAAATGTAATTAGTTATAAAAGTTCTATCTCGGTTGATAGATGTGACAGTTGCAGAAATAAAAACAAATAAGCCATAGCACTCGTAACTGTTTCACCTGAAATATCTCAGGGCTGAGAAGAAATCGGAGAAGACTCGTATCACTCATTGCAGCTTTACAGTCTGCGCTAGATGATAGAACTGATCGAGAGAACCAGGGGCGTAGTCAGCTTTTAGTCGGGGGGGGGAGGGGAGTGCGATTGCCCAAAAAAATTCGGTTTTCAGTCGGGGGTGCGATTGTGCCACAAACAAGCCAAAAATTAAGATTTATCTTGAATTTTACAAAAATTAATGCAACTTCCTTCAACATTGAGCTAGAAGCTTCAAATGAAAAGCTACGCCTATGAAAACATTATCTTCCATTTCCAAAATTATTAGGTTATCCATGGGCTTTCAACAGAGAGCCCATGGGCTATCAAAAACCATTTTCTCCAGTTTCAGACTACAGTGCAAAACCACGTGTTTCATGGCTCATTTTGTAATTTTGTCCCCGGGGATATACGTGTACACTCCCCTCTATAAGTTTGCAACCTTTTTCCCCATTGGCTTACGTGTTAAAGCCTCTCTATGTTTGTATTTCTATTTTCATGACATGCAAGGAAAAATGTGATACTATATAAGTGAAAAAAGTAATGATGGCGGATATGTATTTTGACTTTATTCACTATAACTCCAATTTTTTCAATTTTTTTCCTCAATTACATTAGGTAGAAACTTTGAGAATTTTTTGAAATCATCATTCCTGTTACGCGGTAAGCATGATACAAATATATGTCATATTCCGCAACGAATATGGCATATTCACTTGCGTTGTATGACAGATTCACCCGTGGCTCGTTAGGCCCCGGAATAAGATGCGGGATAGACTCAAACCTACTTTACAAGCAGGCACGAAGCCAAGGGGCGGAGGGAGCGGCCCTGGCCAGAAATACTTTCAAAATCATGCAGTTTTCACCATTCTGAGTACTTTTCGCGTGATCTTTTGCCAAAACTGTCAAAAAGCTGCTACCCCTCTTGGCAAAAACTTGGCAACCTCCCCCCTTTGGTAAAACCGCTTTCCCCTGGTAAATCCTGGCTACAGGCCTGACAAGGTACTCCCGAACTCCCTTCACATTCCCACCTGCCCCTAATCAAGTTTCGATCCACTGACACCACCCGGTCAACATCAACAATGTTCTCTACAAATATGTTTTGAAATAAGTTCTCGCAATTCGAACACTGACATCTACTTGGGACAGACTTGGGATCTGGCCACACAGCTGAAACCAACTGAGCCACAGAACCAAAACTTAGTGTTGACGTTCAAAAATTTAAATAGCATCATGATAAACCATCATGACATCTCATATCTTCTCAGCACTGAAATGCCATGATATAATGAGCTTGATTTGGCGATCCAGGAGAGCCCAAAATTTTCATCCCAGAACGTTCATCCCAGCTCGTGTACCTGTGCCAGTGGTAATATCTGCTATTAACAGTTAAATACAATGCCTATTATATATTGATGATTAATGATACCATGACAACTATCACACTTATTGACAGTTATAACTCTTCCCATCCGGTGTCCTCAGATCACAGAATATGCCTCATAATATCGGAGCATGTTTCAGGTGAAACAGAATCACGCGGTTCAAACTTCGACCGTTAATTTGCATTTTTGACCTACCAGCTGCTTGAAAATCAAGGATTGCGAGTCTCATACTGCACCGTTTTTCTTCAAACTTATACCATTAAAAGCAAAACAAAATTGCCTTTCTGTCGGTGCATTACTTTATTGTAAAGAGTCCCTCGTTCAAGCAGCGTTTTGGTCCCCAGCTGTTAGAAGGCCTTCTTACAGCTGGGGACCAAAATGCCGCTGGAAGTAGCAGGGACTCTGATTAAGAGAATAATGTACCATCAGAAAGGGATTTTTGTGATGCTTTGAATGGAACAAGTTTGAAGAAAAACGGTGCAGTATGAGACTCGTGATCCTTGATTTTCAAACATCCGGTAGGTCAAAAATTCAAATTAACGGTCGAAGTTTGTACCGCGTGAGAATGATTGCCAGAATATTTATAATATGTTTCATTACCGTACTCTGCGCATGCGCGTTATGATTAGTATAGGTTAATTGGCGAGAAGTATCATGGGACTTGTTTTATTCGATATTAAAGTCACGTTGTTTTAATCAGAGTACACACAATTCACATCATCAAAAGAACGGTGTTTGACGGAATTTCCTAGATACACGTTCAATCTACGACTCAAACAAAGAGGAGGAACGACCCCAAACTTTATAAAATTAAACCATACATGTACCGTCATATAGAACTGAACCTAGAAAGGAGTGGTATCGATATGGAGAACTGAATTCAACAATGTTTTTCTCTTAAACCAATCATTGAAAACATTCTGTAAAAAACACGGTATTTTATGTTATGTTGAATGATTGACAACAATTTAATGCGAAAATTATTTAGAAATATTTTTCATAACTGTTTTTGTTAAAAAAATTTGTTTTCTTAGTGCAATTGTTTTTGCTCCTTTCTACCAATTCTTGAAAATGAAATAAAATGTCTTTCCGTTTTGTTCCAATGAGGTTCGGAAAGATGTTTCATTTCACTCTGGAAACATGATACCAAGAACAAAACAAGTGTTTGATGTATTTTCTAAATCATATAGAAAAATTAAATTGACGATGTGTGAAATTTTTAGATTTTTTTATGACTGGTTTAAGAGGAACGTGTGTTCAAAAAGTTCTCCATATCGATACCACTCCTTTATCATCGAATTATGGGTTGCTCCCCTCCTTATACTGTACTTTGACATGGTTTATTTTATTTTTGTTCAAAATGTTATTCAAATTGCATTATGCAATTTGTATGAATGCACCACTATCCCCTCGTATAATTAAATTCAGTGACCCTGGCCTTAAGTGTGCGCGCAGCCAGTCACAGGAGCAACCATCAATGCAATTACGTTGTTCATACAGACAGCCGTTTAGGCAACGTGACAATGTACGTAAAATAAGTTATTTCATACAATTGTTTCGCGTCAATTACTCAATGAAGACATATACCATGCAGAGATACAGATTGGAATCTCCCTTTGACTTGAATGGTTTCGGACTAATTGAAATAACAAGAGAACACAGTGGCGGACCAAGAAATTTTGCAGGGCCTCAAAAAATGGGCCTTTTCGGCCTTTTTAGGCCAAATTATCATACAATGGGCCTTAAATCTTAAAATTTGGGCCAATTTTGGGTTTTAGGGGCTGTTTAGGGGCCAGAAATTTGGGGAAATATTTTACTGACTCAAAATTTGCCCCCCTTGTAAGCTTCTGGATCCGCCACTGGAATAGCTTATGCTGAATCGTTATGAATAGATGAGAAAATTTGATCAGCTATATTTGTGTGGTTGGTTCCGTTTTGATGTAAGACCATTAATGGAATAGATCTAGGATGGATTTCTTCATCCTGGAATAGATTTATACCAATTATGAACAAAAAACAGTTCACTGATATTGGAATTCGAAAATAGTTCGACATATATGTTTGTTTTATTGTCATTACCCTAAACATGTTATTTAATCATTTCTGAGTTTAAAAGTACATAATTAAATGAGTCCAATCAGAAAGCATTGAGTAATCCGCCCACAGTTTTTTCTTTTAATTTATAAGTATGGCGGCCGTTCCGATACCTGACATTTCGTACTACATTTTTTAGCTTGTATGGAGCTGAGTGTTTTTTATCATTTTGCTAATGTTACGACGTTAAATATCAACGGAAAGTCATATCTATAATTGACTTTTTGTCTATTTTTGTATTTCCTTTCTTTAAGATGCGACTGTGTACCTCATTGTCAAGATAAAAAGAATGTAATGTCTAATTTTCGTACCTAATCTAGGTTACTGTTGTCAGCGTGTCATCCACGTACGCACCTAGGAAATATGGCACACTGACAGCCATGTGCATTCTGTTGAGAGTCACAGGCCCGTAGTAAGCTTTTGCCAAGGGGGGTCACTTTTAAAATATTTCCGTGTACCTCATTGTCAAGATAAAAAGAATGTAGCTTAATGTCTAATTTTCGTACCTAATCTAGGCTACTGTTGTCAGCTTGTCATCCCCTACGCACCTAGGAAATATGGCACACTGACAGCCATGTGCATTCTGTTGAGAGTCACAGGCCCGTAGTAAGCTTTTGCCAAGGGGGGTCACTTTTAAAATATTTCCGTGTACCTCATTGTCAAGATAAAAAGAATGTAATGTCTAATTTTCGTACCTAATCTAGGCTACTGTTGTCAGCTTGTCATCCCCTACGCACCTAGGAAATATGGCACACTGACAGCCATGTGCA